TAAACCCTGTATATCCCTATATACCCCCCCTTTAAAGGGACCTAATTATTGGGTACATGGACCCTTTGGGTTGGTTTCGCAGAGGTAGGGGTCCGGATTCCGAGGCATAAGCTCTTGGACTTGGCTCAAGGGTTTACCTGATTACCTACAGTTTTATGGGTTATACCTACGAATTAAAGGGTAATTACTGTTAAACTGTAGGTAATTGGGGTTACAGGTAGGGGTTAGGGGTTTAAGGGTCTAGGGTTTTGGGTTTTGGGTTTTGGGTCTGCGTTCCATGCTAGAGTAGGCCTTTCCGTATAGATTCTGGAGGAGAGTAAGGATTTAACTGTTAGCTCGCCATCCCCCCTGCCACTTGGGTGCTCGCGCATGGATTTCTTTGTGTTTCTGAACTGTTGTTAGACGGTGTTCCTGTAACTTCAGTTACCTGCAGCTTTATACGTGATACGTGCTATGTAGTTAGGGGGTAATTGCTGCAAGCTGTAGGTACTTGGGGTTACAGGTAAAGTCTCACCACAATCCCAGAGAACCACTACGTAACCCCAGTTTCCATTGCATGTTCTGTGTTCTTGTCAGTTTGATTCTCCATTATTGGAGGATACCATACCCAAACCCCACCTCCTATATAATCCTACCTAAGCCCTATATCATCCCTCTATGACTCCTTTGGACCCTATAACCCCTACATAACCCAAGAAACGGTAGGCAATTGGGGTTACAGGTTGCAGGTTCGTCAATGTTTGATGCGGCGGTGGTGTCCTGTGTGCATCCTTCGCCAGACCTCCTTTTTTCTGGGTTGCGGTTCAGGAAGTTAGCTTAAGGTACTACATCGTTTGGGAACCCTTATGGTAGTTTGGGCCCTCAACCCTAGGTGATTACCAACATGATTTTGAGGTCTGCTTCAGGAACCTCATACCATAACTATACATGGAACCAGCAACCATGATATTGCCAACTGTCCCGATGAACCTCTCCACATGCCCAGTTTCCATCACATATTCAATAATCGCTTCAATTCGTTGTTCCACAAGTGAGGATACTATCTCTAAAGCCTAGACCATCAACTCTAAACCCTTAAGCACAGATATAGAGGGCGCGTAGATTATCATAGTCCCCTGTAAGTAGATATAATTTGGCTTCTCAAGGGGGACTAATAGCCTTAACCCTAAAGCTTAAACCCTAAACCCTAGTTTCCATTTTCTTTTCCATTATCCCTATACAACCCCCATATTCTATCTACTTAAGGAGGACGAGAAACCCTCTTAAGAACAGATATAGAGGGCGCCTAGAGTAGTTTCCATTTTCTTTTCCATTATCCTTATATAACCCAATATACTATTCATTCAACCCCAATATATACCCTATTCTAATATAGTTGTTTACATTTTCTTTTCCATTATCCCTATGTAACCCCAATAATACTCCCCTATATAATCCTAAATCTAACCTCCCTATGTACCCTAAATTAAACCCTAAATAGTAGTTTCCAGCTTCTTTCCCATTATTCCTGTATGACCCAGTATATACGATATTAGACCTTAAGCCCTAAACCCTAAACCTTCAACGGGGGACTATAGACCTTGTCTGGCAAGGAAGTTATCGGCTCTGAAGGACATTGGCTTCGTTGTGGACCTGGTGCCCAGGAGTTGAGCATGGGGTTTGAGGGTTTAGGGTTTAGGGGGGGCTTCCTCAAAAACAAGTGGTCGCTTTTTATTGGGAGCATGTAAAGTGGAGCCTGTTATTTCGAAACTCCACCACTTGTCCAAGATACATTGGGTTTTAGAGTTTGGGGCTTTGATTTTATATGGGCTGATTGGCCTACCTGGTTCTGGGATGCAGTGTTCTTCACATGGGAGTTTTCGAAATTTACTTTGCGTAGTCCCTTTAGTACATGCGGGTCCAGACGTTCATCAGCTTAAAGAGGATCAATTGCATGGGGGTTTGGGTGCGAGTACCAACTGATCGTATACTTCCCTGGCACCTGCCCTAAAGCCTAGACACTTAATTACCCAACTCTCAGGTGCTAAGCCACTATGGTTACTTGGCCCCCGAGGGTCTATGTCTAGGTAGCGGACAGATGAAAGTACTGCCCCCACCCAGTAACAGTCTACATTAGGGGTCCTATAAAGGGCTATATATAACCATGTAAAAATCATTATCCAACTGTTGCTGAGAGGGGGCAGTACCCAACCTTAAAGAGCATGTCTACCCTGACCTCGGCCCTATGCTCAAGATTCATGGCTGCAGTGTATATAGGGGTCTATAGGGGTTATGTAGGGATAATGGAAAAGAAAACGGAAACTATTATTTTGGGGTTTAATGTTTAGGGTATATAGGGGGGGTTCTATCTAGGATTATATAATTAGGGGAGTATTATCGCGGTTACTTAGGGATGGGGTAGTTCCCAAAATTAGGGTCCTGTTTTGGTACCTCTAAATATTAGGTGATGCAAAATAATCTATAACCAAAAGGGCCCACAATTTTGGGAGCTACCCATGTGTGTGAGCCCACTGGGTGTCTTGCATGTTACCGGCAAGGAGAAAAACCTGCTGCGCCGCTATGTATAGCTGAAGATTCTAGACCTTGATGGTGCTCCCGAGTGCAGGTGGGGTACGATCTTCCACCTATAGTCCCCCTTAAGTAGATGGAGTATACTATAATAAGATCCCCAAATACCCCGTATTCTATCTACTTAAGGGGGACTATAAACTATAAGCGGCAGGACACATCCTATCTCGCTCAATTGCCAGTTCCCTTTCGGTTAACTCCCGCAAAAAACATGTGTAGCCACCAGTACCCACAGTCTAGCAGAAATTACCCAAATTGGTAGGTATAATTCATCAATATCTAGGCAACAGGCGTTAGTCAACCCAAAATACCGTAGCAGCTTCATTTCTTTCACTACATAACCCCTGCAAATCCCTCATGCTCCTTCTTTCCAACCTCTAGATATCCCCTATGTGCTCCCCCTATTTTAAAGGCTTACGCCAAGCTGCTGGGCACTACGAAGCAAAACGTGTACACCTTCAACGCCCCAACTGCAAAAACCATCCCACCTGATAGCTGATGGATCGGAAAGCCTAATACCTCTATATTTGGGCTTAACGCCTAAACGGTAAACCCAAACCCTAACCCGGGGGCTTTGTGCAAGGCAGGTACCTTCCATCACCCCTACTGCCGCACACGCCTAAGGCTTACGGCCTAGGGCTGGAGATTACCTGTAACCCCCCATGGTATAATACTAAACGTTTAAAAAGTGAACCCATCTATAGATTTGAGGCCATCTATGGATTCGTAGTCACAAAACATTTTTTGTAAAAAACAATATATCCCATCTCTGGTTTAGTTACGGTTTTGTTATATAACGGTGTGACCCCCCATAAATGCTAAATCCTAAACCCTAAACATTATACAGGTTAACAGCCCCGACCGCTGAGGTGCTGGTGATATTGATGGTACTCGCACCTTGTCGAGAAGAGTAGCTTAATTTGTAAAGTTCTAAGCCCTAAACGTCCCTAAGCACTAATCCCTAAAGTCTAAACGCTAATCCCTAAACCCTAGTCCCTAAACGCTAAAGCCTAAGGCAGCACGCAAAAACCAAGAAGGTGTACTGCTTAGCTACTCATCTGCTTTGTCCTCTCCCCGTACTATTAACCCTGCTCCCTCCACCCCTTTAATTATCATAGTATACTATCATAGACAATTTTTATCCGGACCTCTACACATAGGTCCTATGATGAGGGGCATAGGTCATTAGCCGTCCATCACCTTTTGGCCGGAATCAGCTCTGGCACCCTAACTCGCATCCTAAAAAAGAAGCCGCAACCCGTGCATATCGCATCTCAATGAGAAATGCACAAGTGAAGATCGCTCACTCAGTTGGCTTTTTTTGGACAGTCAAATTCGCGTGAGGTCCAGAAGTAGAAGTATTTCACCAGTGTCGTGTTAAACACTAAACCTTGAAAACTCCTCGACCGCTAATCCCCGCACGCTACACCTCAGATTCTTGGATTCCACACCTCAAGCCGCATGCGATCGCTGTAGGCTGTCCTGCAGTATGGTTATATCGGGGATTGTATAGGGGACTATTGCAGGAGATATTAAGGAGGATACTAGGAGTCTAGACAAGGGCCCATGTCCATTGTATCAGTCTCTCTGCTGAATCTCTTGGCAAACTATGGACACCTCAGCTGACCTATTCGGCACGATGGCCTGTGCGGACAAACAACCTGGAAAGGTCTTGATTCACGTTAATGAAAGAGTACAGAATGATAACCCCAAGCTCGCCAAAACCGCAAGCCGTCGCCATGTTCTTTTTTGCAATCTTTCTTACAGTTGCCACTCTTATTGCATGTCTTAGATCTGGACGTATCCCTGTGCTTAGGAAATCTGGCTGTTGGCAATCATTCAACTGGCCACATTGCCGCCTGGCAGGAGTTGCTGACGAGACGAGTTTCAGACTGTTCGAAAATGGTAGGGTCATGTATTGATGTTGCTTCTTTGCGGTGTTCTTGGTGTGAGGACGCCTCATGCTTGCTTTGAGAAGTCTTGCGCTTTTAACCTTCTACGCGGCTTTTGCCGGCACTAACAATCAAGCCATACGCTGCAGTGCACCAAGGATATTGCCCTCCCCAAATCGTCAACTTGACCACCGAAACCTCAAGCTATAGTCCCCCTTAAGTAGATAGAATATAGGTCCCTTTAAAGGGGTTATATAGGGCTTATATGGGGATAATGGAAAAGAGAATGGAAACTACTATTTAGGATTTAGGGTTTAGGGTTTATAGGGATATGTAGGGATATTACCCCAATAATGGAGAATCAAATGGAAAAGAAAATGGAAAATGAAATGGAAACCCTAGGTCTCTTTAAAGGGGTATATAGGGATATGTAGATTACCTTCTTCCCAGGGTTGGGGGTTTAGCATTTTAGGGTTTAGGGTAGGTACAGCCACTCTTCGGTAACTTCTAGGAGCCCTACCGGCGCATCTGGTTGTTTCGTCTTACTGGTGGCTAGTAGGGAATAAGGGAGTATAGTTCCTATAAAATCCCTATCTGTACTAAATGCCAGTAAGACTCCTCAACAAGAATCCGGATTTTTTCGGGAAGCATCTAGCCCTCGCAAGATTCTCATTGCCAGTCGGGAGCCTTGGCTCCTAAACCCTAAACCACAAGCCCTAACCCAAACCCGTGGAAGCACTGCATGTAGAGTAAGAGCCTGCAAATAAGCTACGGAAGTAACCCAAAGGATCCATGTAGGTATGTTGTATATGCTCGGGCCCAAAGGCTGTTCCCAAAGGATTACATACTCTGCGCCCCAAGTATATACGATGTACCTGCATGGATGCTCTGAGGGTAAGCTACTTAGACTTCAGGGTTGATGGCAGTTTATGGACATGCTTGTCTATAATCCCCCTATAATTCAATCTGACTGTCCCGCCGACACAAAAACCGAATCGAATCCTGAGGGTCCAAGTATCCAGATGAGAGTTTGTCCGCAAATTCTCAAAATGAGAACCCCCCTCAACCCTAAACCCTGAACCCTTGCGAAAACATAGCCTACATGGATCCTCAGGCCTGTTGCGAACTTCCCTTGTAAGACTCTGTTGAAGTTTAGGGTTTAGGGTTCAAGGGACCTTTGCAGGGGCACCTTCACACACGCATTGGCAAAATCTAGAGCGAAGGCTCTGGGGGTTCAGGGTTCAGGGGCCTTAGGGGAAGATGGTCTAAGGTAGGGTTAGGGTTTAGGGTTTAGGGTTTAGGGTCTTGTTTGGTAACCTTGAATATTCCTTGGTGACCCCTGGATGCTTCTGTTTCCATACTCGTTGCAATGCTGACATTGCCTGACATTATGCCCTGTTACCTAGACCCTAGAGCCCGAACCGTGTACCACAAGTCAGAAGCCCCAATCCCGTAACCCGATACCTTAACCTTGGCCCTAAGCTCTATGCAGCCCCGGATCCAAACACTTCACTTTCACCCGAGTGGGAACCCCTATACAAACCCACTTGCCATGCCTGTTTCCTTGTTCTTTCCCATGTGATTTGCCATTACTTATTGAACCCCCCCAGCCCGTGAGGTACATCCGCATAAAGCGTCTATACTATAACATCCCGATAGCTCCTCTATAGACAACCTAGTTTAATTAGTCTGTTACCTGTAATCCCAATTACCTACAATTTAAGGGCAATGATCCCCTACTTACTTTTGCAAATATGATATAACCCATAAAGCTGCATGCTGTTGGGGCTACAGCTCCCTGGGGCTCCATGTCTATAGAAAATACTTACGTTGGCCCCCAAGTCTATAAGTAGTACCTACATTGAGCCATTTGGAGCTCTAAAGCCTAAACCTCATACCCTAAACCCT